GGCTTCAGTTTTCGCCAACACAGAGGCATAATGAAAATTATCTTTATATACTCAAAGAACAGCCAAATCTTAACAGTACACTATGTAGGAATTGTGGGTTATGCTTTGTAAAGATATTGCAATGACAACCAACCCCAGATTCACTCTACTTGGCATTTTGCCTCGCTTCATTTGCGTTTTATCTGAGCTGTGTTCACAATATTCGTAGCTTCCTCTGAGTGCTGCTTACAGTCTAGAGCCTGGTCACTACCTTTTCATAAAGTCCCGACCTCACCTGCGTGCTGTGCCAAGGAAAATCCTGAACACATCAAAATAACAGGGAAATAAGAAAACACAGGCAGAGGGCAGAGTCTTTGCAGAACAATACACCTCCACACACCTCTACTGGGTCCTAAGTGATGATTCAGAGGGATTACTTTGGTGTGAGTCTATACATTATTTTTTAGGAAAATCTTGTATAGTATACCTTAAATTTGTGGATCTTAAATGTGTATAATCGAACCAATGTTATGAATTTTCTAGAATCCATGTTTAAAATTCTGGATAAAAATGATATGTAAAAAAAAAAAAAAAAAAAAAAAAAAAAATTAACAAACAAACATTGTGGTCTAAAAAGCAGCCAAAGCCTTATCTAACTTATTTTGCTTATATTCAGAAAAGTGACTGATTTTGCGAGAGGAGCCCACTTTTATTTATGTAAACATACACTAGTTCATCCTCAAAGTGTGAAAGGTTGACAAGGAGGATGCATAAATAGAAGCTGCAGGCCCATCATTGTCAACATGCCAGCTGCTCTCTGCAGAGAATCACAGAGACATGGAGACCTCATTCTAGCAGGCCTTGCTGAATGGGGAAAAATGCCTTGACGACTATCACCAGCACAAAAAAAAAAAAAAAGCTGTTGGAGAGGAAAGGAGGACAAAAAATAATTGTAGAATGTATTGAAATTAAAAAAGAAACATAATATAAGGATTAACCTACAATGAACAATAAACCATGTTAAATATCTCTGGCTGTGTCCCTTCGAGGAGTTTAATAACATTGTAACATAATAAGACCAATGATTTCTACTAATGGGCTCAGTCATTTTTAAACACAGCGGTAGAGTATGAGGTATACAAAACTTCCAGCTGTTGTGTGAACAAAGACAGCCACATTTAAGATGATAATAATGTGTGTTCAATAGCTATATTAACACAAACACCTCGACAAAACCTATTTTTCTCCTCTAATATCCCCACAGAGCGAGCCAGCGTACGGGTCTGCATTCTGCGGGTGTCTGCAAGCTGTTGCAAGAATGGAATGAAGAGGCTGAGTAGGCTCTAATTCATACTGTAAAAAAATGATCACTTTGCAGGTAAAACTTAATCATAAAAACAGCATCTGTGGAGCCTCTTAATGTGTTCAGAGGGCTTTGATAACACTGTCTAGGACAAGTTAAATAATTGTTCTCACATGGTTTGTTACAAAGAGTTTGTTTTCCAATCAAAGAATTCTATTTTAAGACCTGAAATAAGTTAAGGAAATGATTTCCTCTAATACTACAAAAGTCCAGTTGGATTACATTTATTGTGTGCAGTCAAGTAAGATAGCAGTTGGTGCACACATAAAAAGGTGTCGTAAAACTCACAGGCTACAACCAGTATGCTCCTAAACTTGATATTCCTCAGGTTGGCAATAAAAATGTTTTTCAGAGGTTCATATGGTGAAGGGGGCTTTTACACAAGCTACTACAACCATCCACATACTGAAACCCATACTCCCATAAAGTAGGTCTGAGAAAAGTTGACAAAAAACCTGTTAAACACAAAGTTCTCCACTATTTCTCTGCGGTACCTGGGAGAAATGCCTGGACTAAATAAAATGTTCAAATAACTTTTTTTTTTTTCTGTCCTGCTTGTTTGTTTATTCCTATGTGCCATATGCCAAGCTGCATTGTGCTCAAAGCGGCATGTGTGCTTTCCGGCTCTGTTCAAAGCTCAGTGGATTTGACTGGGGTACGCAGTTGACATGTGGGTGCAGACACTTGCCCCAGACGAGGGCACTGACCCCAGTGATGCCAGCCGAGTAGGCGGCCAGAGGGGCCTGCTAGTCCTCACAAATGCCTTAGAGAAACAAAGTCCAGATGCTCCACCATGCTCCGGCTCTTGACACACACTGCATGCTGCTTGCGACATTGTTTCATACCCCGCAATAAAAAAATAAAACAAATTCTGCTGTGATGAACCGTCTTCCTCTGTTTCAGACAGAAGCATTAGTTTGGGTTTATTCTGCAGTGTTTAACAGTTATTTCCAGCGAAGTAAAGCAATTTGGTAAATGTTGAACATCTGGTCAGTTCAAGAGAATATGGAAATCCACTTAGAGCAAATTAAAACAAATGGGGTGACCGGGTAATGATTTCATAAGCAATTTCCTACATTAGGATTTCTAATACTTCACAAGGAAAACACATTTAGCTCTGCACTTGTCTCATCTATCAATCATGCTTGTTGAAGGAGTGCACATGTCAATGCACTTACACTCACAGAGGGTATAATCTCAAGTTTTATCAACTGGGAAATAGCAGAAAAATGATTTTTTTTTTTATTATCTGTTTCCTAAAAGCATTTGTCTGTCTCCCCTCCCCCACCCTGGTGCCATCCTGGCAAAAGCTAAATGAATTAAACTCTCATTAAATATGCATTTCATTGTTAATCATTTGCAAGCGAAGAGGATTAGGTTGCAATTTGTGAAATGACAAAAAATCTATCCCTCCTCAAAAATAGCCTCTTGAAATTGCATTAAAACACAATAGTAGGATCCATCAAACAGTCCTTTAAGCAATAAAATGAGTAAATCAGTAAATCCATTCAAGAGATATTGACCTGTACATAATTCTCATAATACAATGGCCATATGTTTACTCCATCTGCTCATGCTAATGCACTTGTAAACAAAAAATGTACCATATACAGGTCGGCAAATCTATCAATCTATCTGAGACCAAGGTTGAGATCAAAATAATGAAAACAAGAATATGTATACTGAACTGTGCTCTATTTCAGCGCATCAATTAGCCTTTCCACCTTTAAAATGCAAATCTAATGTGGAAAACGTTTGAACATTATTAATTAATGGTAAGTGGAATTAAAAAAGCCTCTTTGTGCCGAATGCTACCTTATTTTCATCAACCTTCACAGAAAACACGGCTGATGCTCGGCGTGAAATATTGATGTGAAAAGCCTCCTCATATAACTAACTCCTCCAAATATCTTAAAGCGCACATAGAATTTTAGAGCAGAATGGGAGAGAAGAGCCGAGACTCTCAAGCCAAGGCTGTCAACTGGAGAGGAGGAGAGGCAGAGAAAAGAAAGATGTGCAACAAGAAAACACTGAATATCCCGCTATGTGTGTTCAAACAAACAGCTTCAAGAGAAACTAAGAGAGAACTGTAACCTCCGACCTGCTTCTGACTCAAGTTCAGATTCCCATTCACAGGATCCATTTAAAGAGCCTCACATTCTGATTGTCCTTTATCTGACTGCATTTCACACAGAGACAAGTTAGTACACAAGACAGAATTATTCAGCGTTTAATGAAACTGTGTAGGCAATGCAGGTAAAAACCTTTGCAGGGTAAATCGCAGACGGGGTTTAGCTCTTCTTGAATTTAAAAGTGTGTATTTCATAACCGCCAAGGTCATTGTGATCGCGACAGTCCAACGTGCGAGGTGTTGGTGTGGAGGACAATCCCCACTATCTGCAAGGCTGCAGGCAACGTTGCCCATGTCATCCTCATGTTTTATTCATGCAAGTCATATTATGGCATTCAGAAACTGAGATCAAAATCTGCTCTGGCAGAAATATTTAATATCATACCTACTTCTCTACCCTTCTCCATCTGGTTAGCCAGAATGAGAGAGGGGAGTAGACAGACTCCTTCGGCTCAGCCATGTTGGATTATTAAAAGTGAAGCTTTCAAAGAGGTCACTGCTCAGGGAAAGAAAAAAAAAACTGTAGCATGCATCAATTATCTTGGAGAGTTTGTGGCATACTGAAGACTGTCTTGTCACATTTCCCAATGTGGCTGAGCTACAGAGAGGTCCTTGGCTGGCGCTGACATTTAGAAGCTGGTGAATTGTGGAAATCCCAGCCTGTTTGTCAAAAAAAAAAAAAAAAAAGGGGGACAAAAGACCACACTGACTGCTCGCAAAGCCCCTTCAGGCTTGAAATTCCTTCTCAATGTCATTGGCATAACTAGACACAGGCACCCAGCCCTGTCGCTCTAATTTTTCATGTCTGAACAACTGCAACTTACACTGATCAATACGCAGTTTACTGGCATCGCTGTAGGACAACAGAGTGATTCCAATGATTCACTACAATAAATATAGCACGCTGCCCGAAAACATTCTCAGACTGGAGGAATGATAATTTCTCTGTCGTGTTGCCTGCACATGAGTAGTGATAGATGGATAACAGCAGCATGATCGTATTGTCAAGTGCGATCTGGAGCCACTTTCAGCCTCTTTTATGAGTCAACCACAGCTTCCTGTCAATACATGTGACCTACATACTGCCACTGCCACTTCTGAGAGGACTCAAACAAAGTCTTTGTGATGAAGACACTCCAATAATTGGTCCTACTGCTGATTTCTAACACTGCTACTCCACATGTGTTAAATGTTTAGAGATGGATGTGCATATTACTGCAGCAGAGAAGGTTTCTTTCTATTTGAGCAAATGTTTCATGGGAAAAAAAAACAAGCTAAAAGTAGCATAATCTGCCTGTTGTTTGGAAGCATTTCATCGGCTACAAGAGCAAGTATAAGATTCCTTCACAGCCGAAAAAGATGCCCCCCCCCACACTCCCACGCATTATCCTCCTCCTTCAGAGTTCAAATCTGTGTGAAGCACAATTCCATGAAACCCCCTTTTCTACCCTCCTGTTCTCCTCGTCCTTACTCCCCACCTGCCTCCCCGTCTCTGTCTCTGTGGTGGCGCGGGGAGAAGTGGCATACCTTTGTTCATGTCAATCAGCTGCTTCTTCTTCTGCTGGCGCTCCTGCTTCTCCCGCTCTGCTTTCTCCTTCGCCAGCTTGGCTCTCTTGATCTTCTCCTCCATCTCCCTCTTCTTGTGGTTCTCCTTCACTGCTTCCTGATGAGGTGCACACACACACACACACACACACACACACACACACACACACACACACACACACACACACAGACACACAGATGCAGACACACAGACAGATATAATCAGAATCTGGCTGCTGCCACCACCACTCTTTTAGCGTCTTCACTACTGTATAGTGTTCAGAAGCGGCAGCATACCATCAGCAAATTCTGATTCAGAGAATGGTTTGATAGTTGGAGATAAGCTGCTGAAATAAACAATATATCATGCCTTGTGTATGGGCTTTTTAATACAAGCATATTTGTCTGCAAGGCTTCTGGACTGCTTTACATATTTTCAATAACCCACAGAGCTGATTCGTTGTCAATAATACATCAATATGACACTAAGAAAAAGGCGAGATGATCATCACACATGTGTACCATGCTAGGATATTTCCTTTTGACAATAAGGGAGGGAGTGAGTGCATGAGAAGAGAAGAAGTGTAGCAGCAGAGTGCCAGCCTCTGAGGACGGAGACGAAGATATCATCCTCCTCCTCCTTCGTGACCGGCTGAAATGTCAGGAAGGAGTCAGAGAAAGAGAGATAATCAACGGTACGGATTCAGCCTTTACAAATGTGTCAGTTTGTTCTTGCGCCAACAGAGAGTAAGATGCAACCGTGTGACCTTTGGAGACAACAAAATGCTCTCTCATCCCCGGCCTGTGGCGGAGCCCCTGACAGGACCCATCATAGGTGTTAGTGTATGTGCGTGTGTGTGTGTGTGTGTGTGTGTGTGTGTGTGTGAGAGGTCGTACTGTATGTGGATATAAGCCTGTGTGCCAATGCTGTCCATGGGCATCTTTGTGCTTCATCTGCGGTGTTTCCCCCTTATGTATGCATATGTGTGTGTGTATGTGTGTGTCAGTAAGTAGAGGCATGGCCCTGTCTATGCACTGATATAATAAGTGGCGACAGAAGGCCCCCCCATCTAATGCCCCTGTGGTCCTGATGTGTGTGTCGTGTTGGCAGCTAAGACAGAGGGATTACAGGGATTGTGGGGAAGGAACAAGGAAAGAGCAGCTCATGATGTCAGTCAATAGTAGAGCTTTGCTCCATGTCCAAGGACACGAGCCCTCATTGTCACTGTCTCCTTGTTGGATGACAAGGGCAATGAGAGAGCGGGGGAGGGAGCGGAATAATAAGGGAGGTGTGTTTTCGTATTATGTGTGTTATGAAAACTTAAGAGATGTTTTGCTTCGTCAGCTGCTTCAAGTCGTTGAACACTCGAAAATCAAGCTACACTTTATCGCCACATCAAGGTTATGTAAATGATACAGCAACACACTGTAAGAGCTATCGACTGTGTGCACTTTGCTGCTGTGTTGAATTAGAGTGGATGAGAGCTGCATGCTCAGTAATGAATGAGTTAACTCATGCGTTTTGTTTAAGTGATGGGCAGGGCTGGCAGCTTGGATCAAATTGATTTCTGTCCTCATCCGCTGACAGGAGTCAATTCATTTTGGAAGTAATATCCCTGCATTGCTCAACATCTACAGCATAAGTTGGCAGATAAATTATGCAGATTACAAATAAAGTCCTGCCGGCAAAACTTATTTTAAACAAACAATTAATTCTGACTGTAAACACGATTATGCAACGTAATTATCTTGCTCTAATCACACAGCACCACTAATTGCCATAGCAACAAATATGTTTTCACTGATCTCTTATTTTTTCCCTTTACCATTCTCTTTGACAGCCCCTATTTTGCCGTTGGCAACAACTGATTGTATCAGGTCTCATTTTCTTGCCAACTCTGTATATTGTAGGAGGACATACAAGAGATAAACAATGCTCTCAAGATGTGTTTTCAAAAATAATCTTCAGTGCAGAGAACCAGATTTAAACCTCATTGGAACATAGAACAAAAGATCTGGTTCCTCTAAAATCTGATCAAATATTCTGTATGATGGCTGGGAAAAAAAAAAAAAAAATCCATGCATTTTGTTTTTGTCTGTTGAGTGCTCTCATCTACTCAAGAATCTGACAATATGATTTCAGGTGACCATGGAAACAAGTTATTTTTGGCCTTCACAGTGAGTCATCTGGCCCTCGTTGAAGATCATCTCTATCGTTAACGTGACACCCAATGAAAGCTTAATAATTTATTCAAATGAAAACAATCCAGTATTACTTTGTTTAGCTCAATTAAGAGATCAAAGTATAAATGTAAATTACACATTAAATCCCACTGACAGGGCCACCTGGGTCCAGCAGGAGTGGGCTGTATTAACTTCTGGGGTCTTGAAATAGAACTCATTAAGCACCACTAGACAATTACAGTATTACACAAGAAATCAAGTAAATTGTACTTACTATCATTTTTATGGCCACTTTTAGATTAGAAACAAATAGTTTTATTAATTCAAGCAAGGAAGATTCTGGAGAGTTTGCTATTATTATATGTCTTTCTTCAGTGAATCAAACTTGTTTAAGTCGTAAGTAACTTCAGTGTGTTTTGTCAGTGAATGTTGTGAGTTGTAATTGAACCAAATTTTGTAACGTCACCTTTGTTGCCCCTGGCTTCTTATGAGTAGAGGAAAAGTCTGCTAGCCACTATGCTAATTTATACAATGTAAAATGCCATAGGCTTGTGTTAAAGACATTAGCATGTTGTATTTGTGGGGAAAATGTGTCCAGATAAAGACAAATGTTTGTCTGTGAATGCTGTCAGTTATAGTGAAGCCAATTTGTGTACTTGTGTTTGAAATTGTTGCTATTAAGCCATGTTTAATGTGTGTTTAATATGTGTTTTGAATCAACTAAACTTTATAGCACTTCCACAACCGACCAGTGTTTTGGAGGTGTAACTGTTGTGCTGCTGCATATTTTCAAACAGGGGAAAAAAAAATCCCTGTCTTTGCATTTTATTTTGATCACGGTCTGTCTTTATAAAAGTGCTTGTGACATCTCGAATGTGGCTTTGACTTGCATCTGAAAAGGTGTTGCCCATTTCGTACAAAATACAGTTTCGCCAGTCAGCCTGTGAATACCGAGATCTGAATTTTTGTCCATATCGCCTAGCCCTACTTGATATCGTCTCATATTGATCACAGGCCCCTGACTTAAATCAAAATTGCATTGTGGCAGACTTTGTAATATCAGAAAATAATGTATATGTCCAAAGAATGTAATATATTATTGTGATGAAACTTGTGATTTACACCGCTACCAATTATCGCAAGGCACAACAGGGAGGATTTTGTTTGCAAACTAGATACTCCTATTAAAAATAGTTCTTCAGCAAAGTAGATTAATCCAAACACAAGCAAATAAAGTACAGTATACGGAAAAGATACAATAAAAAGTCATGTGTTGGGCAGCACTTCAGACTAACCCAAAACAATTTTCTCTATGATTACCTCCCATGATAGACAGTGTCCTTTGTGGCCTTGATTCTACCTCATAGCCTTTAAATAAAACAATGAAACCCTGCAGTCCAGACACCATGTTAATGACTGGCTTCGTGCCCTGAACCCCTCCGGTGTAAAGTAGGAAAATGTGGTGCAGGTACTGTATACATATTGCTAAGGGCGTATGCAAATTCAGAGGTAGAATCTTCTTGAAAAGACAAAACAAAATGTGCGGTTTTGCATAATAGCACCTTGATGCCAGGTGGGGTTGTCAACAACACTATTGAGGCGGCACATTCGGGCTTTATGAGCCTGAAAGCCTGTCCATCTTAGACACACCAGAGGCCGGGAGTGTGACACACACTCACTTCTTCTCGTGGCCTCCGGTGTGTCTAAGATGGAGATTATAAGTACTCCTCTATCTGTAACTGGCCGGAAAACCGAATGCTGTGCAACCCACAGGTCCAATCTTGCAACAAGGGCCAGGCGGCATTTTCCCTTTCCAGGTCTGTTCTTTCAATAATTCATGAAATGTGTTTGCTGTTCTTCCTTGACCCTGCACAACACAATACATCTCCCACAGCATGGCTCCCCTCCCATGCATACAAGTTTGCCAGTCCAATGAGGGAGCAATAAGTATTTCCAACTGCTCGGTTGCACCAGTGATCTCACACAGAGAGTGTCACTGCTATATCTCATTTGAATTTTACAAACACTACAGCGCCTGGGCTTTAAGCAGCAAATGTGTTTATTAGCCATCTGTTACACTGTGTGCCAGGATGTGTGTGTGTGGTGGGGGGGCTCAAGAAGTTATAGGTTACAGATTGTGAGACTTCTGCTCTGCGGTATAGATGTATTCCCATATTGATAGGTGACCTCTGAAATCTGGTGAAATGATTTTTATGACTGTCATGCTAGTGTAAGTGAAAATACTGAGGGAACATGACAGTGATTCAGCAAGAAGAAGGTGGGGAGAGCTGCACTGCCAGAGCATCATCTTCCGCATTATCAGCATGATTATGATAATTTGTCATATTGTGAAGGAATTAGCAAGCTTTAGAAATATCAAATGGGCTCCAAAGTGGACCAATATACCCGCACACGCAGCACACACACGCGAATCATCATTCTAATCTCATAGATGCTCTATCTTGCTACTTTGCGAACCCGGTCTGGGTCTTTTGGTCTTATTAGAAAGTCACTCAATTAACAAGGAAGACTGTTAGCTCATCCCAGCCCATCTGCTGCGCTTTGATAACTCATTAATGGAAAAAATCCTCATCCCCCATGCTCCTGGTCAGGATTACACATACAGACCCAGCGATTGCATTTCACTCATACTCTATTTCAGAATATGGCAGCAGCATTAAATTAACAAATTGTTGGACTCTCGGAATACTGACTCCATGTGCTGAAATCAAATAATATTTCATTGGACGCAGGGAAAGAAAAAAAAAATAGAATGGGACTGGAGTGAGGGAGAGAAAGAGAATGAAACAGAAGGAAAATAGAGTTAATGGATTCTCTTATCAGTTACATTCAGTTCTGTGAGGACTGTCTGTCAATGCGTTTACTCAAATGCCTCATGTCGGTCGGGTGCATTAAGCCCTAGCTTTTTAGTAA